CCTGGGGCTTGAACTCAGGCCCTGGGTGCTGTCCCTAAACTTCTTTTGCTCAAGGCTAGTGCTCTACCACTTGAGCCACAGCTCTACTTCTAGCTTTTTAGTAATTTATTGGAGAATGAGTCTCACAGATTTTCCTGCCTAGGCTGGCTTTGAACTGCAATCCTCAGATCTTAGCCTCCTGAGTAGTTCAGATGACATCACACTTGGCTTTCATAATTTCTTTGATGCCTAAAATTTCTCACTTATGGAGCCCCTTCTACATGGCTCCAGTGGTATTCTGACATTTCCCTATTGGCCTTGGAGCACCTTCTTGCTTTCTGGTACAGGCAGGTATTCTGGGACAGTATGTCTATAATATTAGACATTTACTCATGGAGCCCTGGTTTCTTTTAATGGAGCCAAAATCTGAGGGCTAGAAGGTCTTCCCAGAGGACAGAGCTGGAAAGCAAACAAGGACCTATGTCACACATACACATACACATATGTCTATCAATCCCAGCCATCCATCCATCCATCCATCCATCAAAACCCAGTGTTGGGGCTGGAGATGTAGTTCGTTTGCGGGCATTTGTATAGTGTGACTATGCCTTGGACTTGATCTCCAACTCCAAAAGATATGAATTTTTTTTAAAAAAGGAGAGAGCCAGTACCAATGATTCACATCTATTCTTTCCTATTCAGGAGGCTAAGGTCTGAGACTCTGGGTTCAAAGCCAGCCTAGACAGGAAAGCTCATGAGATTAATTAGCCACCACAAAGCCAGAAAAGGAGCTGTGCCTCAATTGGTAGAGTGGTAGCCTTGAGCACAAAAGCTCAAGGACAGAGCCCAGGCCCTGAGTTCAAGCCCCAGGACTCATACAAAAAAAAAAGGAGAGAACAGAATTTTCTGTGAAAAGCCCATCTCAGCAAAACTATTTCACATCCTAGTTTATTGTTAAGTGGGAAAGGAATATCTGAGATTTACATTTCATTTTAAACTTAAGAGGACTTAATATCAAGACCATCTAAAAAAAATGACCTGAGGTCAACCCGTAGAATAGCACACAAATATCACCAAGGATTCTCATAAGTATTTTTTAAATTTAAAAGTACAGAAGAACTTCTAATGTTTTAGTTATTCAAAGCATGTTATTTCCCCAGACTAAACTGTGACAATGCCATCCTCAAAGAAGATTTGAAGCTGAAAACAGAAGAAATTAAAATGCTCAAGTCAGAAAACGCAGGTAGGAAAAGAGTGGTATTTTAAGTATCCTATGTTAAGAACACACCAAGAGACACAAAATGCTAATGTTTTGAAGTGATGTATTTTGAGGATAATAAGGGGAATAAATGAATCAGAACCGTTTTTAAACCTATAAAATGTATCAAAGCAAGCAGGGAGTGGTGGCTCAAGACTGTAATCCTAGGGAGGGAGAGGCTAGAGATTGAGTTCAAGGCCCACATGGATAAAAAGAAATTGGAGATTCTGTCTCCGCCAATGGCTGGGCGCAGTGGTGGGCACTCCTGCTCCTCAGGTGTGATGAGCACCTGTCACTCCTCTCCCCAAATCAGAGAATCAAAGCCCAGACTCGTCCCCTGCAGAAAGTGAGAGCTGACCTCAAAAATAACCCATGGAGACAGTGACAGGCGATATGGCTCACGTGGTAGAGTGCCTGCCCTGGAAGCACTTGGCCCCTAGTTCAATACCCAATACTGCCACACAAAAAAGGATCAAAATGAAATCTAAACAACACAGTTAAAAGTGAATAGTTCAAGGGACATGGGCAACATACTCAACTACCATCTCTAGTTTCAAGACATTTCTAGCAGCCCAGAGTAAACAGCTCATATATATTAAGCAGGTTCCGTCTGTTCCCTGCTTTTAATTTAATTTCATAGTAAGCTCAGGAGTAGATCAGCACACATGAGGAATAGAAATTAGAAATAGTGTGTTTGTGTAATCTCTCATATGTCCCTTATGTAATGAATCTCCTTATAATAAATACTGGTGAAAAGATAGTAAGATCTTTGGTAGTTAAGTGCTAGTGGATCATGCCTGTAATCCTAGCTACTTAGGAGACTGAGATCTGAGAATCTAGGTTCAAAAGCCGGCCTTGGCAAATAAATCCAAGAGACTCTTATCTCCAGTTAACCAACAACAATCCAGAAATGAGGGTTTGACTCAAAGGATAGAGTCCCAACCTTCAGTGAAAAAGTCAGTTAAGAGCACAAGACCAGCTGGGGTGCTAGTGGCTCATGCCTGTAGCCTTAGCTATTCGAGAGGCTGAGATCTGAGATCAAGATTCCAAGCTAGGCCAGGCAGCAAAGTCTATGAGACTTTTAGGTCCAATTAACCACCAAAAACTGGAAGTGGTGCTGTGGCTCAAAGTGCTAGCCATGAGCAAAAACAGCTGAAGGGCAGCACCTAGGCCCTGAGTTCAAGCCCCACAACCACAAACAACAAACAAACAAAAACTGCACATGGCCCTAAGTTTAAGCCCCAGTACTGGCACACAAAACACCTAATACTTGGTAGTGACATCCCTTTTTTTGGGGGGGGGTTCCGGTCATGGGGCCTGAACTCTGGGCCTGGGTGCTGTCCCTCAGCTCTTCAGCTCAAGGCTAGCACTCTACCACTTGAGCCACAGCGCCACTTCCGGCTTTTTTTCTTTTTGCTTCTGTGGTGCTGAGGAATCGAACCCAGGGCCTCATGCATGCAAGGCAAGTGCTCTACCACTGAGCCACCTTCCCAGCCCAACATCCCAAATTTTTAAGAGAAGATGCCAATCCTACATTTTGGCAGAGACTAAGCAGTGGCTTGAAGAGGACAAACAAGTTCCAAATCAGGCCTTGTATTTTATGCGTCACTGAGCTGTGTGAATGCCTCACGCAGATGGTATCTGAGCCCAGGCCATTGAGCCCACAGGATTGTCACCTGTGGTAAATTAGGTCAGGATAGAAGCTTCCAGAATCACAGCCTTTTTCTTTTTTCCTTACCACTTTGCCTTGTGTTGCTGGGGATCAAACACAGGACCTCCTGTCCGCTAGGTAGCAGTCTTCCACTGAGCTACCTCCCCATCCCCTTTCTGTTCTAACATGTGGTTTGAGAGCCTCATGTGAAAAGTCTAGCATTTAAGGCCTGCTGTCTCCCACGACTGTGGGTATTCTACCAGATCGGTGTTGCAGCTGAAGCCCCATGTGTGGGAATTGTGGAGGAAACAGTGTTGGTAGAACTGCATTACAGGAGGGCCAAGCGAGGCCTCAGAACTAACATGTGTGTGTGGCCCTGCCTAGTGTTGAACCAGCACTACTTGGAAGCCCTCGCCATGCTTGATATCAAAGAGCAGAAGGTATCTCAGGAAAGCCTGTGCCAGGACAAGAGTGGCTTTACGGAGGTATCAGGGCTTGAGGTAGGTGCCATGTGTGAACGGCAAGGGCAGGGGAGGGGGCATTTCTACTCCTTTCCTCTCCCCTGTCCTAGCACACCCTACATAGTGATCTGACTAGGGTGAGAGGGACCCAGGGCCTTGCCCAGCTCAGCCTTTCTGCCTGGCTGCTCCAGGACCCGCAGGCCTGCCATTCTTGGCATCACGGTCTATCCAGCTGCTTCCTCCCATAGTTTCCTCCCGTCGTGGTTGCAGCAGAAGCGGTGTGAGTAGATGTCACTCTTGGCTTGGAGAATCCAACCTCACAGGACTGGCACTCCTTATTCTATCTAAAGCTCACGGTGGCCTCTGACACCTGCAAAGTTAGTGCTGGCCTGCTATGGCTGATAATTTGTTACTGTCTATTTGTCTTTCCTCCTCCTCCTCCTCCTCTTCCTCCTCCTCCTGCTCATCCTCCTCCCCTTCCTCCTCCTCCTCCTCCTCCTCCTCCTCTTCCTCCTGCTGCTGCTTTTTTGTTGCTGTTGTTGGTTATGGGGCTTGAACTCTGGGCCTGGGCGCTGTCCCTCAGCTCTTCAGCTCAAGGTGAGCTCTCTACAACTTGAGCCACAGCACCACTTCCAGTTTTCTGCTTGTTTATTCGAGATAAGAGTCATACGGGCTTTCTTGACTGGGCTGGCCTTGAACTATGATCCTCACTTCTCAGCCTCCTGAGTAGCTATGATTACAGGCATAAGCCACCAGTGCCTGGCTTACCTTTTTTTTTTTTTTTTCCAGTGGTCCTGGGGATTAAACCCAGGGCATCCCAAGGTCATAAGGCAAGTTATGATTGAGCCACGTTCAGAAGAAAGATCTGCTGTAGTATTAGTGGCCTACAATACGGGAGCTTGCCAATGATGTATAAAAGCATCCTGGGATTCATAGAAAACAAGTATAGCCTGTCATTCACTGTACATCTTCAGAGAAGCAGCAAGCCTGGTGCTGGAGACTCATGCCTACAATCCTAGCTACTCAGGAGGCTGAGATAAGTAGTTCAAGGCTAGGCTGGGCAGGAAAAACTCATGAGATCCATCTCCAAAATGCCTGGCTTGAAGCATGGCTCAAGTGGTAGAGTTCCAGCTGTTAGAAAGAAATCCAAGTGAGAGTGAGAGACCTTAAGTTCAAACCTCAGTACTGGCACAAAAAAAAAGAGAGGCAATAATAGTTGCTTTCAATAATAGTTACACACTGACAAAGTCCTTATCACTCGCCAGATGTTCTAAGTGGTTCACATGGATCGACAGAAAGCATAATTTTCCAAATGAGACAATGGAGCACTGCGAAGTGGGTAACTTTTTGTGACATTTCCCAGATCTTCCTTTTTTTGGCAACTTCAGAAAGAGTGATTATTAGGAGCTGGGACATAAAAAGGGGAAATATTTATCTGCCATATGGCCTTGTGTACACTCAGATCAGCCAAAAGTTAACTATGCTTCAAAATTACCTTTGATGTGAGACGTTTCTGAGATGACTTTTACATTGAAGGACACAGTGGGTTCTTCTTCTCTAAGTCTGAAATAGGGACAGGGAATGTGGCTTAGTGCTAGAGTGCTTGCCTAGCATGCATGAGGTCCTGGGTTCGGATTCCTTGGTATCACATAAACATAAAATTAATAAAATAAAGGGAAAATACCATTAAATTATGCTTAAAATAAAGTATTTTTTTAAAGTCTAAAATAAGCCAAGTGCAGGTGGCTCACACCTGTAATTCCAGCTACTCAGGAATCTAAGCTCTAAGGATCATGGTTCAAAGCCAGCCCAAGCAGGAAAATCTGTGAGATTGTTATCTCCAATTAATTACCAAAAAAGTTGAAGCTGTGACTCAAATGGTAGAATGGTAGCTTTGAGAAGAAAATATTCAGGGACTGAACCCAGGTCCTGAGTTCAAGCTCCAGGACTGGCACACATACATCCAAAACAAGTAACTTGGGCCTCGGTGCTAAAGTGAGACACAGTGCACAATTGGGAGGGATAGAATTTTCTTCATTGTGATCCATAGTCAAGTTCTGGTGATTCCAGAAGAGTGGATCAGCCAAAAAATATTTAAGAATACAGTGTATGATTACAGATTGTTTTTATTTTTGGCAGTACAGACATTTGAACTCAAGGCGTGAATTTCTTGATCTTGTTACAAGTAATGACATTCTTTCTCACTCATAGTTACTTGGATCCTGAAATCCTGGCCTTCATTTTTCTTCTCTGCTTTAGTTTCTTTGGGTCAGGTGCTTGAGTGCTGGTGTGCGTGGCTGCGTGGGTGCCTGTGTTGGTGGGCAGCTAAGGCGCTGTGACACTTCGTGATGGCAAGGCATGCTTTTGGGTTCCAGCTCGCGGTCCTTGGAGCCTGCCTATGTGGTGGCCCTGGAGGCAGTCCCTGTTCTTGTGCCAAAATGGCAGCGTCCACTCGGAAACTGGTTCTTCAGCTCAAACATGAGGTACCTATCACATTATTATGACAGTAGACATTTTGGTTCTGTTTCCTTATTAATAGAATAAATGCAAGTATCTGTAGTGATTTTTATCCTAGTAGTAATTGACTCAGATTTATGTGATAGCATTAACTTATAAATTACATTCCCAAAATACAATAGTCCTTGGCATATTTAATGCTTGCCTAAGTTTGTTGTTAACCTCCTGTTACTATCTTTACCTTTCTCTTCCCTTCTTTTCCCCTTCCCCTCTTCCTCTTTCCTCCCCTTCTTCCTTCTTCTCCTTTTCCTGTTCTTTGCCTGGTATTATGGCTTGATCTCAAAACCTTCTTTTTTGGGGGGGGTCCGGTCATGGGGCCTGAACTCTGGGCCTGGGCGCTGTCCCTCAGCTCTTCAGCTCAAGGCTAGCGCTCTACCACTTGAGCCCCAGCACCACTTCTGGCTCTTTTCTTTTTGCTTATGTGGTGCTGAGGAATCAAACCCAGGGCCTCAGGCATGCAAGGCAAGTGCTCTACCACTGAGCCATCTTCCTAGCCCTAGATCTCAAAACCTTCTATAGTTATTATTTCTTTTTCATTTTATTTTAAACTTTAAAAATTAATTGTTATTGCCGGGCGCTGGTGGCTCAAGCCTGTAATCCTAGCTACTCAGGAGGCTGAGATCTGAGGATCGAGGTTCAAAGCCAGCCCGGGCAGGAGAGACCGTGAGACTCCTATCTCCAATAAACCACCAGAAAACCGGAAGTGGCGCTGTAGCTCAAGTGGTAGAGCGCTCGCCTTGAGCTGAAGAGCTGAGGGACAGTGCCCAGGCCCAGAGTTCAAGCCCCACAACCAACAAAAAAAAAAAAAAAAAAAATTAATTGTTATTATAAAGGTGATTAAGGTGTTGTACAAGGGGTTATAGTTATATAAGTCAGTTAAATAGTACATTTCTTTTTGGACAATGTCATCCCTTCCCTTGTTTTCTCCCTCTTTTTATTTTTTGCCAGTACTGGGGCTTGAACTCTGCATCTGCACATTGTCCCTGAGCTTCTTTTGCTCAAGGCTAGCACCCTACCACTTGAGTCCCAGCCACTTCCAGCTTTTTCTGTTTATATGGCACTAAGGAATTGAACCCAGGGCTTCATGCATGCTAGGTAAACACTCAACCACTAAGCCACATTCCCAGCCCCATAATTACCGTTTCTTAAATTTATATTTTCTTATCTATATGCAGCTCAAAATTTACTATATAATAGAGGGAAAGCCTAATATCATAAATTAAAATAATGATTAGGGGCTGGGAAGGTGGCTCAGTGGTAGAGCGCTTGCCTTGCATGCATGAGGTCCTGGGTTCGATTCCTCAGCACCACATAAGCAAAAAGAAAAAAAGCCAGAAGTGGCGCTGTGGCTCAAGTGGTAGAGTGCTAGCCTTGAGCTGAAGAGCTGAGGGACAGCGCCCAGGCCCAGAGTTCAGGCCCCACGACCGGACCCAAAAAAAAAAAAAAGATTAAAACTCGATGGGGAGATAAGCAGGAGTATTTGAACAGCAGTACATTAGCAGGATGACTCCGTTTCTCAGGTGTTAAAGAGAGGGCTGCTGTGAGCACAGAGGAAAAAGACACCTTGTGCACAGTGCAATGATGAATTCACCAGCATTTCATTGGTTGATAGCTAGCTACTTTATAATTAGACTTTAGTTATAAATATGGTATACTTTTAAACCAAAATACTGGTTTGGTAATACTCTACCAATATTTTCCCTTTTTGAAACTATGGCGTTTAAGACCTTTAGACTACTTTGGTAAGCCACTGGTAAGCGTTAGTCATCTGTTAAGAAATGTCTAAGCTGGATGGAACTAGAACAAATCATGCTAAGTGAAGGAAGCCAAGGTCTGAGACACAAATGGTACATGTTCTCCTGCAGAAGTTAGATCTAAACTGCATCGGGATATGACAAATTACACAGGATTCTACTTACATATAGTGAGACAAAAGAAGATAGGAGAGAATCACAAAGGTGCAATATCCAAGTGCCTCTTCATATGTATATAAAATAATATACATACTCAAACAAGCTCCAATGATATGGAAACAAAGGGCTTTTTTTCTCAATTTGTTTTTTCTTTTTCTGATGACTCTGTATTCTTTACCTGTATTCTTTACGGTGTATTTATGTGCACAGCTGTGGGAAGGTGGGGGCAGGGAACAGGATCTGAGGAAATTGGGTGAAAAGGTGCAGCAGTGGAGCACACCAGACACTGATGAAAGTGAACTATGCAATTCATGGGTAGAGATGGGAGAAAGGGAATGGGAGAGAATGAGGGAACGGATGACATTGGATGAAAGGAAATGTACTTATTACCTGATGTATGTAAATTCTGTATATCACCTCTAAAATAACAATAAAGTAAATTTTTAAAAACTGCCTGTGCTGGGCACCAGAGGGCATAGGACTCTAATTGCAAGCATGTGAGAGGCTGCGCTGTATCTTGTGACCCTATAAAGGGAAAAGAGAGGGAAGAAAGCAGAGAATCAAGGAGGGAGGCCCAGCAAAGCACAAGATGACCCACCAGTCACCAGCAGCCTCCGTCCTGGAAAGTTGTCCTGCAGTAGCCCAGGGCTGAATTGAAATGCAGCCCTTGGTATCTGCCATTCTTTCTAGCTGGCCTTCCTCTGGAATTTGGGTGGGACACACATACAAGATCTAGGTCTAGGTGTGTAGTGAACTTCAGCAGTTGAAGTAGCAGCCAACTGACCAGCACAGTGAGAGAAACTACTGGTGGTGCAGATTAGAGTGAGCTGCTATGACAAATTCTTAGTTTAAGCAGCGCTACAGATCAAACACAGGAGCCATCAGCACTAGGCGGGTAGGCTGCATACGTGATTTGATTCAGCACTCAGGCAAGAACTGTTCTGACTTAACCTCTGACACTGTTCAAACTTCTTTTCAAAACCAGTTGGAACTTCTGCAGAAAAGTAAAGAAGAGGCTTACATAATGGCAGATGCATTCAGAATTGCATTTGAGGAACAGTTAATGAGGAAAAATGACCAGGCACTGAGATGGACACAAATGGATAAAATGTGTAAAAAATCAACCAAAGGGATAAACTGGAAGCGCGTGAGAGAAGATGGTAACTATTAAACATAATGGCAATAATCATATCATTTTAGTTGGTTATAATCAAAGTTATGGAAGCATTGTTAAGCTTATATATGGGTATAAAATTGCAGTGTAATATGTAGTTGTGATTTACTTAAAAATTTAGCAACTGGTCTGGGCACCAGTGGTTCACATGTATAATTCTAGTTACTCAGAAGTCTAAGATCTGAGGATCGCAGCTTGAAGCCAGCCTGAGCAGAAAACTGGAAGTGGCGCTGTAGCTCAAATGGTAGAGCGCTCGCCTTGAGCTGAAGAGCTGAGGGACAGCGCCCAGGCCCAGAGTTCAAGCCCCATGACCAACAACAACAACAAAAAAAGACTATACTCCTAGTTACTCAGGAGGCTGAGTTTTGAGGATCTCAATTTGAAGCCAGCCTGGGCAAGAAAATCTGGGAGACTCTTATCTCCAATTAATCACAAAAATCCAGAAGTGGAGCTGTTGCTTAAGTGGTAAACTGCTATCCTTGTACAAAGAACTAAACGAGAGTGCCCAGTACCTGAGTTCAAGCTCCAGGACTGTGTATGCGCGTACACACACAACAGAGCAGTCTGAGCCTAGGCATTGTGGTCTGTCAGGATGGGGAAGAAAGGAGGATAGTCTCTGTTTTGTATAAGCTCATTTGTCCACTGTCCCAGACATTCTCAAAATTTCCTTTGTATATTCCAAAGTCAGTAACTTATTTTCTTTCTTTTTTTTTTTTTCCTCTGTTTTGTTGAGGTAGTCCAGGCTGACCTCTTTCAGTCCACTTGCTCCTGGCTCTCCATGCTGGGATTACTGGTATGCTGCATCATCATACCCAGCTACTTTGCACATTCTTCCACGAATCACATTGTTTTATGGATAGAAATTAGTGTATATACTTCAGGTTGTAGTCTTCCCATTATACCGATAGTTGGCGAGTTGGTCTTTTATAACCATGCTATTTTTTTATGTTCTTAAATTTGTTGACAATTTAAATAGTATTTCTCTTTTAAGCATGACATTGTAAAGATCTGCATGAGTTTCGAGTTGACAGATGTGTTTACGGAGGGAAAACCACTGTTAGATATTAGATAGGGAACTTCTCCATCTCCCACTTTATGATGATAAAATATCCAAAAAGTTTATCCTTTTACTTTTTTGGGTACCAGGGTTTGATTTTTCTTTTCTTTTTGTATATTTTTGTAAATCTTGTGTTAGGATTTGAAATCAGAGACTCACACTTGCTAGACTGGCAGTTTTCCATTGAGCCATATCTCTAGCCTGGCATTTTGTTAGTTAATTGGAGATGGAGTCTCAGGGACTTTTCTTCCCAACCTGACCTTGAGAACCAAGATCCTTTGGATTTTAGGAGATGGAGTCTCAGGGACTTTTCTTCCCAACCTGACCTTGAGAACCAAGATCCTTTGGATTTTAGCTTCTTGAGTAGCTAGGATTGCAGGTGGGAGCCACTTGTGCCCAGCTTCATTTGAACTGTTTTTGAGTGGTATTAAATTAATTTGCATAAGCTTTTCAACCATCACTATCATCCAGCTCCAAAACCTTTTATCTTCCCAAGCAGAAATTCTGTAGAACTAAACAATAACTATACATACTGGCCTTGAGCCCTGGAATATATAATTTAATGGCAAGTAGGTAATAATTTAATGAGAAGTAGGTAATATTATTCTCATTTATTATTTATTTATTTAGGTCAGTCATGGGGCTTGAAATCTGGGTTTGGGCACTGTCCTTGAGTTCTTTAGCTCAAGGCCAGTGCTCTACCACTTGAGCCACAGCGCCACTTCCAGTTTTCTGGTGGAGATAAGAGTCTCATGGACTTTATGGCCCGGGACTGGCTTTGAACTGTGATCCTCAGATCTCAGCCTCCTCAGTAGCTAGGATTATAGGCATGAGCCACCAGCACCAAGCTCTATTCTCATTTTAGAAGTCAAAAATTGAAGCTTAGAGAATGAATGCCTCTAACACTTGCAGATAAGTACAAATAACAGGAGGACTTTGGACAGGCCTTTCTGGCTCTAAAGCATATTGGAACAGACTCAGGGCTCTGTAGCCTGCAGGCGATCTGCACAATATTTATCAATAATGGAGATTAGTGGCCTCCATTTAAAATCGGGAGTGTTCGCACACAAATCTGGATTTCTGCAGCCCCTGAAGATTGTGAAGGCCTCGTGACATAGACTGCTCTCTCCTTCACCCCTTCTGCTGGTTCTGAGGAGCAGCTGTGAGCAGCGTCCTTCACTGGGTGTCCCAAAGCGTCTCTATACTTGCTTTTCCATCCCTCTCCCCCTGCTCATGCTGCCTGATTCACCAGTCCCTGTGGCCTCTGAAGAGGACCTCTAGGCTGAATTAGGAATCCATCAGCCTTGGTTTACAAATACCTCGTTTGCTGGATGTCCATCAATTAATTTTTTCTGTGTGTGTGTGTGTGTGTGTGTGTGTGTGTGGTATATGTGTGCCAGTCCTGGAGCTTGAACTTAGGATCTGGGCACTATCCTTGTGCTTTTATTTTGCCAAGGCTAGCATTCTACCATTTGAGCCACAGCTCAATTTCTAGCTTTTTCTTGGTGGTTAATTGGTGATCAGAATCTCACAGGCTTTCCTGCCTTGGCTGGCTTTGAACCATGATCCTTAATCTCAGCTTCCTGAGCAGCTAGGATTATGGGATGAGCCACTGATGCCTGGGTAATGAATGTTTTGTTTTTGTTTTGTCTCTGCTGCATTTCCATGCACACAGGAGGCTTGCCACAGAGAGGCAAGAAGACCTTAGGGCAGAAACTGTTGGGCATGCTTCCTTCAGAAAACAGTTGTAAGAGGGTTGAAGACCTGGACAATTCTCAAGACGTCTTTAAGATGCTAATAGACTTGGTTAGTACTTTGCTTTCTTTTTACTAAAAGTGTAAACTAGTTTTTATTCCCTCCTAACTCAAAGCTACACTTGCTATATATATTGTTTTATATAAATATGAATTCATGTAATATAAAGATATGTTAATACTTCTTTCTCAGTATATTCCATGGCTTATTGAAAGTAGCAGGTACGTTTTCTATTTCTGTGCATGCAGTTGAATGATAAAGAAGAAGCTCTGGCTCATCAAAGAAAAGTTAGCTACATGCTTGCTCGGGCACTGGAAGAGAAAGACATTGCCACAAAAGAGAATAAAGAAAAAACACTTATCAAAGAGAATTTTGTATTCAAAAACCTCTGGCATAAAACTTCTGAATTTTCTGTTGTACGTGATTCTGTACATTCAGATTCCAGTTTTAATTCTGCCGGCTGTATCTGTTCTATCCAGCAACCTCAAACAGCTCTAAACCACTCAAGAACTCTTAAAAGGTCCAGTTCTTTGCCATCAAGTCTCCTATTTTGAAGATGAACCAGGTGAAGTTTGAAATGAGATTGGCTAGCACTTGGAGTCCTTGGAGCTGATGTGGCTCTCCTGTAGAGCACTTCCTACTTTGTAGGCCACAGCACCACAAAAAGATCCTTTTGGAAAAGGATTATGCAAATGTTACCTCATCTTGAAAAGTTATATATATTTTGGTATGCTTAAATTTTGAGATTCAGATTAAAGAATCAAAACATTTCTGAATTTTCTACAGGAAATGTGTTGTATGTTGTCATTTTACTTATAAATTACTCAAGTTTCCAGTATATGCGCCAACATCTTACAGTCAAAAATTATTTTGAGGGAAAACCAAAGGTTATTTATTTATAAAAGTAATTAAATAGCTGAGCACCAATGGCTCACATCTATAATCCTAGCTACTCAGGAAGCTGAGATTTGAAGATTGGGGTTTGAAGTCAGCCTGGGCAGGTAAGTCCATGATTGATTTCCAAGTAACCACCAAAGAGCTGGAAGTGGAACTGTAAGTTAAGTGGTAGAGAGCCAGCCTTGCGCAAAAAAGCTAAGGGACAGTGCCAGGCCTTATGGTCAATCCCAGTACCAAAACACACACATACACACACACACACACACACACACACACACGTACTAGAAGGTACTGAGGAAGTGTGAACACACACACACACACGTACTGGAAGGTACTGAGGAAGTGTGTGATAGAACATACTTATAATCCAGTACTTGGGAGGCTAAGGCAAGAGTATCAAGAGTTCAGGTAAGCTTGGGCCATACAGAGACACACTCTTAAAACAAAGAGTAATTAAAATTTTTTTTTTAATTTTGGTTGATCATGGGCCTTGAACTCTGGGCCTGGTCACTCTCCCTTAGCTCTTCAGCTCAAGGCGAGCACTCTACCACTTGAACCACAATGCCACTTCTTGTTTTCTAGTGGTTTATTGTAGATAAGAGTCTCACAGACTTTTCTGCCCGGGCTGGCTTTGAACCATGATCCTCAGATCTCAGCCTCCTGAGTAGCTAGGATTACAGGCTTGAGCCACCAGTGCCCAGCTACAAAGAGTAATTATTAACACAATAATTAATATTTACTCTCCTGCCTCAGCCTCTTGAGTACTGGAATTATAGGTGTGTGCCAGCATACCTGGCTAATACGTTTTTTTCAGAGCAAGTACAGCTTTACCAGGGGGTCACACGGGACTGGGCAACCCCCACACTGGGGAGCAGGGTCTGCACAGTGGGCAGAGCTGGGCTTTCAGGCATTGCTGGGGATTGGGATCAGTCAAGCTTCTCTACTCGGAGCAGAGGTTATTTTTCTGTCATTTGTACTGAGCAGTATGTATTTAGATCAGTCTTGGATCACCCTTTTAGTTTATTCTGTAAAGAAAGGTCATCAACAGGTTTCAGCACTGTTTGATAGGAGGAACACAGTGGTGTCTGCTCAGCACCCCCCAGCCCAGTCTCTCTCTCTCTCTCTCTCTCTCTCTCTCGGCTGTAGATCCCACTGAGGCTTTGCCAAGGCACCTCTGCCTCCTGTACTCATCTTCATGTATCAAAAGTCAGTGGTTTTCACCTTTGGGAGTACTGGGGTTTGAACTCAGAGCCCCAAACTTATAAGAAAAGCTCCATACCCCTGAGCCATGCCTCCAGCCATTTTTCACTATTTTCTGTTTGTTTTGTTTTTGTCAGTTGTGGGCCTTGAACTCAGGACCTGGGAGCTGTCCCTGAGCTCTTGTGCTCAAGCCTAGAACCTACCGCTTTTAGCCACAGTGCCATTTCTTGGTTTTCTGGTGGTTAATTGGAGTTGAGTCTCACGGACGTTCTTGCCCAGATTGGCTTCCAACCGTGATCCTCAGATCTCAGCCTCCTGAGTAGTTAGGATTACAGGCGTGAGCTTCTGCTGCCTGGCTTCACTGGTGTTTAGGACATGGAATCTCTTCCCATTTGTCACATGCCTGAACTTCAATCCTCCTTTTTCTACCATTCTGTCATCACTGTGGTAACTAACAGGCAGGTGCCACTGTGTCCAGCACTTTTCTATTAAGCTGGCTTTGAACCACAGACCTCTCACTGTCCTGTGTGGCTAGGATTACGGGAGTCAGCCACTGTGCCCGGTGGCCTTACCCACTTTCGACAAATAGATGTTTCATACTGAGCCACTTAATAAACAATGAACAGCAAACATTTTCTTAGATTTTTCAAAAAGGCTAAATGTGATTTCATTTGATAGGACTTTGTCATAAATGGCCAGGAGTGTAATTTTTGCTTACCAAACTCTGTTGAGAAAAGATATTGTAATTGTTATCTACAGACATGGAGGGAGAGCTATCATGGGCTGCTTTAGGACTTCTGAGATTCCTCTGTTTGAGGCTGCAGGTAACAACTTCTGCTTCCTGGCATCTCTGAGTCATGAGAACATTGTTTACCTAATAGGGGGTTTGAAGGCAGGAAGTTCCAGTCCTGTCAATTGTTCTCCTGGTATCTTAGTTTTGTTCTTCCCCCTTACAATGCAAAAATAGCTACTGTAGCTCCCGACATCACATCCTCCTACCCACATTGGAAGTTGAAAGGATGAGAACAGCTGATCCAAGGAAAAACCAAAATGAAACAAAAGAACCGTAGTTTTAATAGTGTCCATCTTCATCCCCAAATGTGATGTTACCTGGAGTGAGTTCAGGTCTTTACAGTGAGAGGACCACATGAAAACAAGCTTGAACTCTTCATCTAATCTCACTGGACATGGAATTAAGGTGCATGAGAAGAAAAAGTCATCTGGAAGCCAAGGACGAGATCTGGGACAGACCTCTCTCCATGGACCTTGAAGAGTTTTAGACCTTGATCTTGAGCATCCACCATCCACACTAAGACAACAAGTTTCTGTGGTTCAATTCACGAAGTGGTGCTTTGTTACAGTGTCTATAGTAAAGTGATACACAGCACGAGCTGGCAGAGATCATCCATTATATTTTATTCACTGAAAGGCTGGCAAGGGAGTCTGGGAAAGCAAAATCTATCAAAAGCAAGTCTTAGTTATTTTTGGAGCATTTGTTCTGTACATACTCAGCGGCAGTACCCCTTTTTACAATGGTGAGCACGGTACCTAAAACACACAAGTAACAATGTGTATTACCTCTGATATATTCAAGAATTTAATGTCCAGGCTGGGAAGGTGCTCAGTGGTAGAGTGCTTGCCTTGCATGCATGAGGCCCTGAGTTCAATTCCTCAGCACCACATAAACAGAAAAAGCAGGAAGTGGTGCTGTAGTTCAAGTGGTAGAGTGCTAGCCTTGAGTTGAAAAGCTGAGGGACAGTGCCCAGGCCCAGAGTTCAAGACCCATGACAAAAAAAACAAAAAACAAAAAACAATTTAATGTCCAAACATTTGCTAGTCAAATTAGTGTACCAAAGACTAACAACACGAAACCTTTTTTTTTTTTGGGGGGGGGGGGGAGAAGGGGAGAGGTTGTGGGTCTTGAACTCTGGGCCTGGGAGCTGTCCATGAGCTCTTCAGATAAAGACTAGGGCTCTACCACTTGAGCCACAGTGCTACTTCCTGTTTTCTGATGGTTCATTGGAGATAAGAGTCTAATGGACTTTCCTGCTTGGGCTGGCTTTTTTTCTTTTTTTTTTGGTCTGTCGTGGGGCTTGAATTCTGGGCCTGTGTGCTGTTCCTCAGCTCTTCAGCTCAAGGCTAGTGCTCTACCACTTGAGTCATAGCACCACTTCCGACTTTTTCTGCTCATGTGGTGCTGAGGAATCGAACCCAGGGCCTCCACGCATGCGAGGCAAGCACTCTACCACTGAGCCACCTTTCTAGCCCCCTGGGCTGGCTTTGAACTGTGATCCTCAGATCTCAGCCTCCTGAGTAGCTAGGATTACAGGTGTGAGCCACCAGTGTCCGGCTCATGAAACCTTTTAAAATAATTGTGTTGGGGCTGGGAGGGTGGCTCAGTGGTAGAGTGCTTGCCTTGCATGCATGAGGCCCTGGGTTCGATTCCCAAGCACCACATAAGCAAAAAGAAAAAAGCCAGAAGTGGCGCTGTGGCTCAAGTGGTGAGGTGCTAACCTTGAGCTGAAGAGCTGAGGGACAGTGCCCAGGCCCAGAGTTCAGGCCCCACGAACGGACCCCCCCCCCAAAAGAAAAATAATTCTGTTATTTTGATTCATGTTTGTCATTGCATAAATGATTCACCTGCCTAAAAATATTCATCTCTAAGGAAACTGGAACTACAACAAGAGTTAAAGATTTTTCTCCCACTCCATCTGTGTCAATGACTTATGTGGATTCCTTCTCACACAAAGATTAGAATGTTACACCGTGGGCTGGGAAGGTGGCTCAGTGTTAAAGAGTGCTTGCCGCACATACTTGAGGCCCTGGGTTTGATTCCTCAGCACCACATGAGTAGAGAAAGTTGGAAGTGGTGCTGTGGGTCAAGTGGTAGAGCACTAGCCTTGAGCTGAGGAGCTGAGGGACAGTGCCCAGGCCCAGAGTTCAAGTCCCACTATGGACAAAAAGAAAAAAAAAAAGAATGTTAAACCAAAGCAAGACAATAAATCCCTTTTAGATAAGGATACTAGGCATATTTAAGTAAGGAACAGGATCAATGTTTCTTTTGCTATTAGACAAGCATATGTACATGCTCACACACACACAGACTTCCAGAGCCTTTAAATAAAAGCCAGATAGCAGTTAGGACTAACTCTCCAACTCTCCATGGTGGGCTAATATAACAAAATGCTTCGATATTTCAGTTACTGAATATGTTTGTTGATGATAAATACGTAAAAAGAGGCTTCTCTTTATTTATTTTTCTCTGACTTTTGTAATCTTCTGCCAATACCAATACATTACCCACTCAAATTGTTTTTCGGCCTTGCTGCCTTCCCACAGATCTTTTCCTTAATTAAAAAAATTTCCAGCTGAGTGCTGACGCGCCTGCCTCTAAGTCTAGTTCCTGAGGGGGTAAAGGTATGAGTATTGCAGTTCAAAGCCAGCCTGGACAGGAAAGTTCCTGAGACCTTATCTCCAATTAATCATCAGAAAACTGGAAGTGGCGCTGTGACTCATAGTGTTTGCACACTAGCCTTGAGTGAAACAGCTCAGGGCCAGGCCCCAAGTTCAAGTCCTAGGACTGTTCAAAAAAATAAAATTTTCTACGTATTCTGACAAGCTGAATTCTTTTTACTCTATATAAAAAACTAAAAAGTGCAGAAAAAATAAAATTTATAT